CCCCAAAACCCCAAAACCCCAAAACCCCGGTGGGGGCTGGGTGGGTTGAAAGGAGGATTAAGATAGATTTATAAACTCTAAATAAGGTTACAGATGGCTTGAAATTGTGAAGATCACTACTAGCTTTAGAACTAGTTCATAAAACCTTGAAAGAATTATAGGCTCCTGTCTAACATTAACTAAAAATGCGCTACTTATCCCTATTAGATCACAAATAAACCTTCCAAGAAAACTTTCTCCATTGAAGAGATTCCAAGCCCTATTGTAAAAGGAAATAATTGAAATTCTTATGGCTTCGCATAATTAAATTCATTTGGATACTCAACTCCTCCATTCCAGATTTTATTGAACTCAATAGTGAACTCTTTGATCAAATGTTTGGAAGTGTGAGCAACAATATTTTCGAAGTTTCTAGTCTCAGCCATATTCGTCCAGTTGAAACTCCCGTTTAACACTATGTTATTGTCTATAATAACAAACTTGTGGTGCATCCGGATCCCTCTAGGTATCGGTAGCTTCTTGTGGGTGAATTTGGGTGCGATCTCTTGCAGTTCTTCTTGGGTAAATCCTTCCTTCTTAAAGTTGTCACCTGAGTCATGGTCAGTGACCAGTTTGACAGTGATGCCTTTGTATAGGAGAGTTTTAATGACACCCCAAAGTCTTGGACTCGAAAACCAATAGACTCAAATTTTGACTTCTTCTTTGGCAGAGTAAAGGTAGCCTTCAAGCTTAGCAAAGCTTTCTTTTGAAGGGAATGAAATCAATTCTTCAAGATGTGTTGAAGCCATTTTGTCTCTGTCAGTTCCTAATTGTTTCTTGATACAACTCTCATGAAGCTTCAGAGTCAGTTTGCATATCTTATCACTAGAAAAGTTTGGTGTTCCTGTAAGCACAGAATGTAGAAGAGAGATGAACTCAGTACCTTGTTCTTGTTGGTAGCAAGCTTTATCAAAAGTTTCTGTCATCTCCTTGATATTGTCATCAGTAAGATCAAGTCTGTGAGGCTCAATAATCCAATTCTGAGTGACTTCTTTATATCTTTGTTGCACTTCAATTTTTTTTACTTCAAAACTTTGATATATCTGTTCTTCTTTATTCTCTTCTCTTGGTATAACTTCAGTTCCAACGACCTCTGCTGGATCCCTATCTTTATCTGCTTTTTCTTCAGCTTCTACTTCATCAATTACACTCTCTAGGATGTTCATATCAAAATCATGGTCAAGAGCCATATGTTCTCTATGTTCTGGGACAAGGTCTCTGTGCTCTTGGGAGAGTTCTCTTGCAAGTTCATTAACTTCTGGCATAACCTCTTGGTTCTATAGATCAACTTTGGAGTGGCTTTACCTGGTCGTGTGCAAAGATGCTGTCTAAATGTTGGATCATGCCTCCTGGGTACTGCTCTAGAAGGTATTCGTCCATTGTTAAGGAAATACGTCCGGTTGGATTACCCCACATCTGTAAGTAAATTATGGTTAAGGATTTGAGAGATATTTGTAGGAAGAAGGGTGTGGATTTGAGAAAAGAAGTTTTGGGGAAGTTTAAATGTCTTGGGATTTTAGAGAATTTTGGGCCGTAAATAGGGGAATTTAGAGGCTTAGAGGTGGTTTAGAAGGTTGGAAATGAGTTTATAAGGGATATTGGAAGGAATAGAGGCGAATGCTTTTTGGAAGTTTGAAAAATGATATGTTTGAGTGAAGTTGGGTAATGAGGGTTTGTTAGAACCTCCTATTTTTAGCTGCATATCTTTTGCTTGGAACTAATATTCATGATGTAAAGGTAAAGATTGATGAAGATATAAATGAGTTAAATTAACAATAAAAATCAAGACTTCTAATTAAAAAGTATAAAAAGATACTATGGATCGCTCAAAGTATCTAAAAATCACAAAAAAGCATCTATTATGACCAAAAGTAGGCTTAGAGAAGCTTGAAACCTATTTTTAAAAAGAATACTTACTCTTTCTTACCGGTATATAAAATAATGATAACTTTACACATAGATTTATTCTCTTTATATTATCAGGGGTTTTGGGGTTTTGGGGTTTTGGGGTTTTGGGGTTTTGGGG